GGCGTGCGTACCAAAACGCAAGCCGCGAATATTAGGTTAGCCTGTTAACGAATGTTTGCTGTTGCTTCTGATAAGGCTACTCCCGAAAGTGTTTGTCTCTGTTCCTGAGTGATCTGGCATTTTTGAATTGTGGAGGAAAAAAAACAAAAGAAGTGCAACATGCTGAGCTCCACGACATTTGTATCCACTGGACCTGTGGAGGTACCGAAAGCTCTCCGAGATGGAGAAAAGTTCATCAAATGGGATGATGTGAGTAATAAGTTTAAAGTTCTGTTCTACGCTTTAAAGAATTTTGCTATAACAGTCCTTAAATAAAAGATTTTTTTTTACAATCGCGGGTAGGTTTTATTGAAAGAATGCATTTTTTGTTAGTTCTTAACGTCTGCTGCAAAATTATTGACCTGCTGTTTAATCCAGGGTAGGTAGGTTTACACTAAGGGTGGTCTAGTTTGTATGGGCAAGTTTAAAAATGCATTTTTTGTTGAGCGCGAACCGGATATTTTTTCCTTTTTATTTGAAAGGCCTATAGTAAAAATATAATGTTAATCGGTTAGCGTTTGATAAAAGCTAAAATTGTTAAAAGTCGTCAAAACCATGATACAAAAATAGAAGGTAGTTTCATTTATTGACATTTGGTGTTGTTGCCGACCACTTGACTTTTAACAAGTTTATGACATTTAACTAAAATCATGCTACAAGATTCACTAGCAGTAAAATTTTTGTCTTGAAAAAGTAAACTAAATGTTTGAAGTTAGTGAAGTTGGATGAAAATATTAATAGTCTTTCACGTTCCCAAACTGCAAGAAATCGGTACACCTGTGCAAATGTTCGAAAATAAAACTGTTTGCTTTTCCGAGGATATAGTACGTGTATGTGTGAGATTTTCGCATAGATGAATTCCTGATGATTCGGGGGTTCATTTTATTCCCCAATAACCATTTCGATTATTTATAAGCACTATTAAAACGTGTATAGTTCATTATTAAAAACGTGTATATTTCTTCCTGCTGAACTCGAGCGTTACAATTATTATGAGCTACTGACTGGACTAAAATGTACGAACATAACCAAAGGCTTTTTTCTCAGCTCTCTTTAACAGAATATATGGGCAATGTATTAGTACGTATATGTGCATGTGTGTACATAAGTATATGTTTAAATAAATAAAAATGTGCAGCGGTAAAACATAGATGCAGTGTTTCCCAAGTTTATCCATGCCGCCCCTAATGCTAGACTAGCATGACTGTGCCTTCTTTGTGGATAGGTAAACAGCTCTTCTGAAACAAAAGGTTAGTGAATGCAATCAGTGTGGTTGTCTGGTGAAAGGATTTCTTCGGTGCAAGAAGTTATTGGTAACCGGCAAAGTTTTGAAATAGAGCGTTTGCTTATACCGATCTTTGTACGTAAAGTAACTACCCGAACTAGCTTGTCATTTCCAGGATGTAGTTCTATGATTCTTCCTAACATCCATTGCTGTGGCGGTAAGCGATCGTCCTTTATCAAAACCAGTTCGTTGATTTTCATGTTGGCTTTTTGTTGGCGCCACTTAGGCCGAGATTGGAGATGAGACAACCAGTCAGACGACCACTTTTTCCAAAATTGCTGTATCATACGCTGGCGTGCCAGATAATGAGCACCGATTCCTGGAGTGTTCACAGCTGAATCAGGCGGTGCCAGTAATGCGTCACCAGTCAGAAAGTATGCAGGTGTTAACACGAATAAGTCATCTGAATCGGCGGTCAGTGTGCAAAGGGGCCTCGAGTTGAGGCAAGCTTCAGTTCGCACATGTACCGTGGAAAGAGCTCTTCGTATGTCGATCTTGTACTGTCGACTGCTCGCTTCAAATAGTATTTTACCGACTTGACATTTGCCTCCCAGATGTTTAACTGCTTCTGTGAATCTTAATTGATCCTGCCGCAGCGCCTTTTGTGCACCAACGAAATTGGTTCCACAGTCGCTGTAGATGTCGTGGCAAATACCACGCCTTCCTATGAAGCGCTGAAATGCGGCCATGAAGCATTCAGTTGACAGGCCAGTGACAGCCTCCAAATATACGGCTTTGGTTGCTAGGCAAATGAAGACCGCGATATAGCCTTTGTAGACGGTATTCCCTCGATATCGCGATGCCTTCAGCTCAGTCGCACCGGTGTAGTTCACTCCAGTGGCATAGAAAGGTTTACTAGGTGGGTTTATGCGTTGTAAGGGCAGGTTTCCGATTAGCTGACTTGCACCAACCGGCTTGCTTTTAAAACATATAATACACTTTCAAACATACTGCTGCACCACCTTCCTGGTGTGTATTATCCAGAACCGCTGGCGAATATACGCTGTTGTCAACTGGACACCGCCATGCAAAGCAATTCGATGAGCCTTTTCCACCACTACACGAGTGAAATGACGAGTTTGCGATAAAATAATTGCCTTTTATCATATGATAAATTTGCTTCTTGTAAGCAACCTCCTACTCGTAATATGTTCTGCTCGTCGAGAAATGGCGTTAAACTGTAAATTTTGCTTCTGTTTGGAAGAGAATTGTTAAATTTTAATGAATATCTTCCGGAAATTCCTCAGCTTGTACGCATGGCACAAGATGTTTAAGACTGTTCTGAAGTTCCTCTTTAGATAAAGAGTCTGCCTTCCTGGAGTAGCGATGATCTAATCGAGCATTGTAAACAAAACGTAAAACATATGCGTTGACACGAATTAAATGGTTAAGCGACGAAAAACGACCGATTCTTGAATTTATTTGAACAACTACGTACGTCCGAATAAGCGTTGGCTTAGCTTCGGAGGCTACGGCGTTGGTGTCTTCCAAGTTAAGAATGTAATTTGGCCATGACGATTCGGTTTTGCGTAGCCATGTTGGTCCATTCCACTAAATATTCAAATTGCCTAGTTCGGCAACGGTCTTGCCACGTGTCGCATAATCTGCCGGATGTTCGAGGGTATTGCATCTGTCCAGAAGTGCATATGAACGGTTTCCATTGGTAAGCGAAGGTTTTGTTTTACCTAAGTGGCCAGTGTTGCTGCTAACATAGCACCGCATAGTTCCACTCTCGGAATTGTGAGAGGTTTTACTGGAGTTACCTTGCTTTTTGCGGCTAATAAATGGGTGTGAGTTGCACCATCTGCATACTGCAGCATGCATGTAAGTAGAAGCTGCGTAAGCTGAAGTTGAGCCATCACAAAGGGTATGAAATTCGACAGAGGAAATATCTTCAGTTGATGTATCTTGGAATCGTTATTCGGTGAATAGTAGCTAAATTTTGCACAATTTTCTGCCAACGGTCACTCAGAGCGGCTGGAAGTGTCTCATCCCACTGCAAGCCCGTTGTGTGGCCGTTCGAGCGATCTACTTTTGTTGTCCACACCAATCAATATCCGATTTCATTTTAAAATGGAAAGTATCTGTTGTAGGGGTCCACAACAGATCAAGTGTCTTAATGGCTTCATTGGCATTGAGTTGAAGTGGCCCTTGATTGGGTCGATGCTCTGAGGGTATGGACTACAGGAGGGCATCATGGTTGCTTGCCCACTTTCGGAGCTCCATACCAGCTGATAGAAGAGCACCTTTGAGATGTTCACGAATTGTCAACGCCTCTTGTAATGAGTGACTACCTGTTTGTACATCGTCCACGTACATTTCGTGAAGTAATACCCTTTCTGCTAATGGAAGTCGTTGTCTTTCATACACGACAGTTTGATGCAGAACCCGGATGGCGGTAAATGGCGCAGACGCAGTGCTGACTGTTCTCAAACAAAATTCTTGAATGAGACCATTGTCACGTCTCCATAGAATTCGCTGGTATTGAGCATCATCAGGGTGCATACGAATGCAGCGATACATTTTCTGAATGTCTGCTGTAAACGCATATTTGTGGGTTCTCCAATTTAGTATGACAGCTGACAAGTCATTAATTAATGGCGGTCCCACACAAAGTAAATCGTTTAGCGATTTGCCGTTTGATGTCATCGATGAGCCGTCGTAAACAACGCGCAACTTCGTGGAGGAATTTTCCACTTTTATGACTGCGTGGTGTGGTAGGACGCAAGACGTGAAGGTCGGTTTGCCTGTGGATGAGATGACTTGATACTGGTCTTCGGTGGAAAGTGCTGGGGTTATTTGCTGAAGGTTGAAGTAATACTCAATGGTGCTGGAATAACCGTGGCGAAATTCCGAATTAGCAGTTAGACGACTGTAACGAAGCGTTTTCCTGTGAAGGCCCCGACGCTTCTGTTTTCTATGCTGAGGTATACTCGCCGCCCAGGGTCCGTTACAATAAATTTATATTGTGGGGCCTTTGCAAATAGTACTTTATTTAATTACTAAAAAACGTGTTACTACTTAATTCCTATGAACATAGTACGATTAACGGTGTATGAATTCCTACGGTGAATTCCCAGCGCGCTGCTGCTGGGTGACGTCGACGCTACTCTGTCGGCGTTCTGCTGCTGTGCGACGTCGGCGCTACTGTGTCGGCGCTCTGCTCCTATGCGGCGGCGGCGCTCTTGTGTCGGCGTTCTACTTCTGCGTCACCGTTGTGCGTGCTTGCGCACGCTATTGCTTGCGACGCTATTCTGTCGGCGCTCTGCTGATAGATTTCGTCGATGCCACTATGCCGGCGCTCTGCTTCTGTGCGACGTCGGCGCTACTATGTCGGCGCTCTGCTGCTGTACGACGTTGGTGCGACGATGGTGGCGCGCTGCTGCTGTGCGACATCGGTGCGACGATGGTGGCGCGCTGCTGCTGGTGCTCTTCGTGTTGCTGAGTCGTATGGCTACATGTTGCGTTGCTATGGTGACCGCGTCACCAGGGAGTGTTGATACGGTCTCTTATGTTGGCTGGCCGTGTTGTGTTGTTGTTGTTGCTGTTGTAGTCGTTGTTGCTGGAGTAGGGGGCGGCGTTCGTGTGGGCTAAACTCCGTGGATATTTAGTCCTCACACTTCCTCCCCTCTTTGGCGGGCTTAAGTTTTGCGGTGCCTCGTTATTATGCGAGCGCCCCACCGGTATACATTGACTCGGTATTCTCCCGCCCGGAACCTCACCCGGGACGCGCAGGTTCCCTCTGCGATGTCGCGAATAGTCCTCCGGACCCTTTCGGCGACCTCCGGAAATGCGACGCAATGTTTCAAATGTTTAGAGTTTGGCCACCTGGCAAGAAACTGTAAAAGCATTCACGATTCGAAAGGGGCGTGCTTCAATTGCGGTGATATAGGCCATAGAGCCAACGTATGTAAGAAGGAGAA